TAGCCTGAAGCGGTGCTACACTAAGAAAGTAGTGGATGTGCCCACACATGCTATCTATGCGTTACACACCTCTGTCTTCTGCACTGAATGACAATGTCTTGTGTCTGGACAGGGATTCCGCTTAAGAAACAGTTCTTCCATTTTTGTCTCAATACTTATACTTATTGTACAGTTATTTACGAAATATAGTTAAAAGTCGTTTCAATGTATTGTACTGTAGTTTATATGCAGTATATATCGGTTGGGATTATCTGAACATTGAATGCTTTTTTCGATTTTAGCTCTGAATGAACGTATGGTTATAATTATATATATAAATTATATGTAGACTATTTATCATAGATACCGTATAAATAAGCATAAGCACTATTTTGTTAAATATTTTTAGTTTGTTTTCAGATGTTTGTTGATTTTTCACTGACTTGTTTATACATTAGACAAAATTTGTACTCAAATTACGATAAAGCGATTTTATGGTCAGATATCCCAATGTTATAGAAATAATTGAATCATTTTGTTGTAATGTATTATAAATTTACACATTATTTCCGACTCCGAAGTCTATTCGAGCGGAAAATCATTTGTAATTTATTTGAGATTAAAAGCTCATAAAAATCTCTGAAACCTGTATCTGAAACGAGTGAATATCAGGTCTTAATCTTCCATTTGCTATAAAAACCTATTTGTCATACATTTTCACACATTAAGCGATAGAAAACATTGTTATTAAATAACTTTAAAATAATGTTTGATATTATTTGTTAGAAAATAATAACTCCTTTATTATAAATAATTAACAAAAAGTCTTTTCTAAAGCTCACTTCCTATTCATTTTTCACTACACTTTTAACTAACGATTTGTCATAAACTAAATAAATATGTAAAACAGTTTTTTCACATAAAATTGTAATATTAAAACGAAAAGAAATTGAAAAGTTTTATATTTGTATTAACAGAATAAATGTTGAGAATTTCGATACCAAACCAAATTCATTGCATAATTTACTAACAAAACAAAATTAACAGATAATTGTTGGAAAGGTTTTCATTTATATAAATACATACAAAAAACATATTTATTCATTTAACGAAACAGTATTTATCAAAACAACAAAAATACTTTAAATGAATTAAAATATCAAATAAAGAATTACTAACTCTGTATTCAATTGGCTATTCATTTAGTTTTTATAACTTTTTTATTTGAGTTCACAGTTCATTGCAATTAGAGATTGTGTAGTGATTTCGTGTCCAAGAATTTAAGTGATATTTAGAAAAAGTATTTCAAAACTATTCATCAATTTCTGAATACTTATCTCTCTTTTTCTTACCTCTACTGCGGCTTAAAGTTATTAAAAAGAAATTTTTCTCTTTTTTATTATTCTTACGGATAGTTTCATTAAAAATAAGGTTCAATAATGTTGTGTCAAATCATGAAATTTGAAAAATTCTTGAAATTCTTGCTCAAAGACTAGACTCCTATATGTATTAAGAGTAGGAGATATCAAATTGAGATTCCGATCGACGCCTTCCCTAATAATTGTGAATTCAAAAGATTTTTCGCATATATTTTGCAAAAGCAATCAATTACTGGATTCACTGTTTTTTAGTGCCACCAATAAAAAAGAGATAAAATGTATTAAATAAATACAGTATTAAAATATGTGATCAAATCTTTTAATACAAATTCTTGTTTCGCGTTTTGAGTCCAAAAGTTAATTAAATTAAAATTTATTGAGCGCTGTATTCATGAAATGAGACTTTATTTCGTGTATTAATCAGAAAAAGGTCTGGAATTTGAATGTAATCCTGATTTTCAATCTCTGGTTATAATATCTGTCACATTCACGCCATTCATATTCAATAGTGTTTTCATAGCGATATGCTCTGTATGTATACCTATTGGACGGGCCAGTCATTAGCGCTCAATGTCAAGGCTAAGGCCGCAAACACATCCCATTCCCTCCCGTTCCACATTAGCCGCACTGGCATTCAATGCCACACCCGATCGATGAATAAATGTAATATTAAATTAATTTCTCATTTTGAGCCCTCATTCATACATTTCCTCTAAAATACAAAAAATATAAATCGATTTCTCGATAGACATCGCAAACCATTTACTCAAATGGTTTTGTGATGTTTGTGTCAAAACACGTCTCTAATAAAAAATATGTCTAAAATCAAATTCATAATTAGTTTGATATTTTGTACGATATTTGCTGTTAGTAATGACATACTATAGAGTCTACATTATAAGTCCATTAAAACAGTGAATTCAATTTGAAGTAAGTTTTGAAATTGTAGACACAATTGATGATTGATAAAGGCTGAGACAAAAAGTTTTTTGTTTACCATCGGAAGTTTTATTTAAATTTATCTTAAGTAAACTAGATTATTTTAAATAATTTATTTACATAAAAATTTTATTTAGAAATTTCATCCAAATATCACCAATCTTGCTTGTTAGTAAATCCTAGGCAGACATCACGGATTAGTCTGTCTAACAAAAGTACTTTTAAATTTAAAACTCTATGAAAATTAAGCTAAATCTTAATGTTTAGTGATTTAAGTAGACATTGTTTATAATATATTCAAATCATGGGCACCACAGCCTAATTATACGCTAATTTCAAATTTATTTTACCACGATATCAACAAAAATAGAAATTAATTTAAGTAATTTTATTTCTACGTCAAAAATTTTAAAAATATCTTGAGAAATTAGAATTAAAATTATAATTTTTACTTTTTAAATGATTTAAAATTAATCACAATGAAATAAATATTTAAACCAGAATTTTCTATTAGATAGAATAAACTGAATACCGGTAAACGATATTTCATATGGTTTTTGAATACTGTAATACTCTTTGTAGTTTCACTTATAAAACAATGGATTTAACTCTAATTTAAACTAATTTCTTGTTATGAGACTAATTAAGATTTATAAGTTATAAAGTATGGTGTGGGAGGAGATTGTATTGTTTTGTGTTGTATTTAATGAATTTATGCATTACATGTATTTTTCTACTCCTACAAAATATTTCATTATTATTACTCTTACAATCTGTATATAATAGATAGTTTTCAGCAAAAAACAACATCAAAAGCANCGAAACTTTCGCGATATACTGACGCGACAGCACTCGTTCAGGTCGTACGTCAACTGATACATGGGCTGACAGTCAGCACCGGGCGGCCCGTCAACCGAGTCGATCACCTCCGACGGGTGGCACCGGTGGTGATGATCTTGGCTCAGGTATTGGTACAGTTTAGGCATATTCTCGAGTCGATACAAGTCGACCGTCCAGTCGGCCACGTGTCCGAACCCAGCCTTATCTCGATATAACTGGAAGAGGTCGGCCACGGCTGACAACCCCAGGTTCCTGGAGCCCAGGTGTTGAATGGCTGAGTTCCAGATCTGCTTACCGATGCCGATGCCCCTCCACTGGGCACTGACCACATACATCCCTAAATAGCCGCGACTGCCGGACAGCCTAATCCCACAGCAACTGCCGAGTATGACTCCTGATGGGAATGGGACACAAACAGGCATTCAATTAGATCTCATTTACCCGTCCGGAGCACACATCAAGTATCAAATAATTGTTTCATTTTCTTGCAATCAAACTAAATGTCTGGTAATTACTGTGCGTTTACTCACAATTTCATTCACAGAATATGTAACACTATTTTGTGTGATAACTCAGAGGACATCCCAAACAACATCCCAAACAACACGACTGTCTCAGACACATCTCACATCTCCAGTCAATTCTGTGATTCTGTATGTGTTTTGTTATACTGTAGTGAACACACATAGTGTGAGGGACTCGTGATTTGTCTCTAATGTCTTGTTTAGCATTCTGTCTATCAATCTATCGTATGATTTGTTTTTAATATACTTATAGCACCGATAGATTGATTGGCAAAACCCTTACACCCAATGCCTTCCACTTAAATGCCTCTTCCGTGCAAATCATCACATTTTATGCAAACCTTGTCTTACATTTGGTTATCAATGAATGGCTAAACAAAATATATGGAAAACATTTGTGACAACTCTAGTGTTACAGTCATTTTAAATTTGATTCAATTAATAATCATATGATTTTCAGTGCATTTCTAAATTCAATTTCGTATTTATTCATGAATGGCTAAACAAAATATATGGAAAACATTTGTGACAACTCTAGTGTTACAGTCATTTTAAATTTGATTCAATTAATAATCATGATTTTCAGTGCATTTCTAAATTCAATTTCGTATTTATTCAGATCTCCAGTAATTTTATTAACGGTAAATAAGTTGAGAAATAGAGTGAATTGAAGTAAAAATAAAACAAAATAGTAATATATAACGTATAATAATATATAAAAAGTTATATATATATATAGAGTAATTAAAGTAAGAATTTAATAAAAGAATTCATTCAATTTATATAGTCTATTAATAACTAATAATTAATAGAAGCTTAAATAATAAATACTGTATAACACGGAAAACATATATAAATATAACAAAAAGTTACAAAGCAAATATAAATAGGTTAACATAATATTCACATATTCTCTAATGAATTACAAAATCAAAGACTAATTTGAGTAATTGAATGAAAAAGCAGTCAAAAAACAAGAGTAGCATAACTTATAAACTATTTAATATAATATATGCTAATAAACCAGATACTATACCAAATATCATACCAACAACTCATAGATCGTAATGATAAGTGTATATAAAACTGAGTGAATGGATACATACCGTCTTCATCGACGGCCACATAGAATCCCTTCGGATCGAACTGAAGCCACGACTGCACCTCTTCGGCGGTCCCCATATGTCGGCCCTCTTTCTGACATAATTGAAGCAATTGTGAGATTTCGTGTTTCCGCAAATGCCTTATTCTGTAGCGTTTGGTTTGAATGGGCATAATATCGGGGCTTATCAGCCGTCGGTTATTAATCGAGTAATTTGTTGAGTGAGTAAAGTGTTCAAGATTGGATTTATGAATCCCACCGACAATTAGGTATTAATCCACTGGAAACGTGAGCCAAAATTTCTCTATCGAAATGGTTTTTATTAGATTTATTAATATATCACTTGATTAGAGGCTTTCAAAGAACACACGATATGTTTGGGAAGATATGATGGGATGAATAGACGGGCGATACGTATGACAAGTCAGTCAACGAAATACCTTTCGGTCAACAATTGGCAAAACTTTTCAACGAGATGTTGCGGCGGCTGTGGATGTATTGCGAGTGACGTTTACAGTGTGTGGTGAGTGAGTGAGTGTCGGCGCCGGACAGAACCGGTCCTCCAAACTATTTAATCAGGTTTTAAGTCTATTTCGAGGATTATTTTTATTATTTATGACAGTATCTCAAGAATTCGCGAAATCAAGTTCAACAGTATAACCGGCTTTTATCTCTGCTGTGATGATAAATATTAATGTTCCCTCTCCACACACACTTCATACACACAACATGACATCCATAGCTACGAGAGATAGAGAGGGAGAGGGACAGGAGGTGGTGGTGAGCAGAGGGAGAAACTCTAATCGCACAGATATTTCGCAGCGTTTTTCTAATGAATCGTTTCTCAAGTGATAAAGAATTTGAAACAATCTTATCGTGCGATTAGAAACTGGTTTTTCCTGACTATAACTCAATTAAACTGATGGATGATTCGGTTGACAGCACTGACAGGTCGCGCACAGGACTGACCACACCTTTCCCTCTTAATGTAAGAAAGTTTTATGAATCCCACCGACAATTAGGTATTAATCCACTGGAAACGTGAGCCAAAATTTCTCTATCGAAATGGTTTTTATTAGATTTATTAATATATCACTTGATTAGAGGCTTTCAAAGAACACACGATATGTTTGGGAAGATATGATGGGATGAATAGACGGGCGATACGTATGACAAGTCAGTCAACGAAATACCTTTCGGTCAACAATTGGCAAAACTTTTCAACGAGATGTTGCGGCGGCTGTGGATGTATTGCGAGTGACGTTTACAGTGTGTGGTGAGTGAGTGAGTGTCGGCGCCGGACAGAACCGGTCCTCCAAACTATTTAATCAGGTTTTAAGTCTATTTCGAGGATTATTTTTATTATTTATGACAGTATCTCAAGAATTCGCGAAATCAAGTTCAACAGTATAACCGGCTTTTAAGAGACGACACTACTATTTATAATTACAAGGGAGAGGTGTGTGTGAAGTATGTGTGTTGTACTGTAGGTATCGATGCTCTCTATCTCTCCCTCTCCCTGTCCTCCACCACCACTCGTCTCCCTCTTTCTCTAATCGCACAGATATTTCGCAGCGTTTTTCTAATGAATCGTTTCTCAAGTGATAAAGAATTTGAAACAATCTTATCGTGCGATTAGAAACTGGTTTTTCCTGACTATAACTCAATTAAACTGATGGATGATTCGGTTGACAGCACTGACAGGTCGCGCACAGGACTGACCACACCTTTCCCTCTTAATGTAAGAAAGTTTTATGAATCCCACCGACAATTAGGTATTAATCCACTGGAAACGTGAGCCAAAATTTCTCTATCGAAATGGTTTTTATTAGATTTATTAATATATCACTTGATTAGAGGCTTTCAAAGAACACACGATATGTTTGGGAAGATATGATGGGATGAATAGACGGGCGATACGTATGACAAGTCAGTCAACGAAATACCTTTCGGTCAACAATTNTAGACTTAATGTATTTCTATGGGGATTTCGATGTTTTTGGACACAACCACTAACTTCTCATAGACTTAATGTATTTCTATGGGGATTTCGATGTTTTTTGAGACAACCACTAACTTCTCATAGACTTAATGTATTTCTATGGGGATTTCGATGTTTTTCGACACAACCCTTACCCATTCGTGGGGATGCCAACTCCCTAAGGGGAGATGGTGTTTCTACGACAGAATTGGGGTTTCCCCGTAGGAATGCCAACTCCCTAAGGGGAGATGGTGTTTCTACGACAGAATTGGGGTTTCCCCGTAGGAATGCCAACTCCCTAAGGGGAGATGGTGTTTCTACGACAGAATTGGGGTTTCCCCGTGGGAATGCCAACTCCCTAAGGGAAGATGGTGTTTCAACTAGGGAATTGGGGTTTCCCCGTAGGAATGCCAACTCCCTAAGGGGAGATGGTGTTTCTACGACGGAATTGGGGTTTCCCCGTGGGAATGCCAACTCCCTTGGGATTCCGCTTAAGACAGGGATTCCGCTTAAGAATAAATACGAAATTGAATTTAGAAATGCACTGAAAATCATATGATTATTAATTGAATCAAATTTAAAATGACTGTAACACTAGAGTTGTCACAAATGTTTTCCATATATTTTGTTTAGCCATTCA